TGATGAGCCTTCTCGTAGCGTCAACGGCAATCGATCATAACGGGGTAGACTTAGCTTCATAGCTATTCAGTACGAGTTATGGGCGGTGGGCTTTAATGGCCACGAGACTGTAACCGAGGCGAGCTTACAAGACGGAGGAGATCGGCTGCGGTCTGAAGTTGAGTGTGATAAGTCCCGCCCGGTCTACAACTGTTGAAAGAAAACAGCGGACTCTCAGATCTTTCCTGTTGATTTTTATTCTCTTTCTCTTTTCAGGTTATTGCAGGGAAAATAGTTAACATTTTGATCTATTCAACCAAATATAGCGAAATCATGCCTTGGACGTCGAAGCTGAAGATCTTTTGTGTGTAGACATATTACGAAATTAAGTCTTTCAAGATTGTTCAAGCAAACTACAAAAGGAAGTTCAATTTCAACACATTTCCAAACAGGATTCAAGATTTTGGTCAAGAACTATGAAGTTCATTACATTTGTGAAGATCGTAGGGCAACGGATTCCTCACCAGGAGAAATGTGTACGTGTTATCAATAACTTTGCATGCTGCATTCAAAAGTGTCTTCGACTGAACCACGGACATCAATACTCTAGGGCTCCTCTTGAAATGTTTGGTTCATCTTTGAGACTAAATGGTTGCAGATCCCAAAATGGCATCCTTTTACCTTTCAATAAATATAATTTCCATTGCTCTATCATTTGTTGTCCTTGATTTGTACCCGATCATTTTGTTTCAAAAATTGTGAAACACCCTGTACTTGCCCAAGTCACGCTTACGCCTGAATGAATATCTTTCCGATTTTCAATCCAGATATGTGGAGGAAACAGGTCAGCTTCGCAGTAACCCTACTGTATCGTTTTGTTGAAACTATAGGGTGTCCACAGAATTCGCGTGCACTTTAAAACATTTACATGTATTTGTGGCAGAAATAATCTGTAAAAATGTAATAAAGTTTAATGTACCTAGTTTTAAGTATAGCTAAAATAACTAATGTAATTTCAGGCATTACTATAAATCAGTTGGCAAACGTTTTCCATGAATTGCAAAATCGTATTACCCTTTGTATTGCTAATGAAGCAGGACATGTGGAAACTTAAATAAATTTTCAATAAAACCTTAAAAAAATATAGATTTACTTCTTTCTAATCCTTTTTTACAAATCATTTCTATCGCAAATACAAATAAAGTTATACATTTTTAAAAGTGCACACGAACTTTATGGACGCCCTGTATATACGTATAATAAAATATATAAAAATCATCAAATATTTAAATAAATATGTAAATATATAGGAAAAATAAAATATATAAAAAAAAATAGTAAAATATTTAAATTAAATAAATATTTAATAAATGTTGAAACTTGACTAATGCATGGAATAATAATGCAACACAAAATGTACTTAGAACAAAATGTATTGAAACAAGAATGTGTACACAATATTTACATATAGTCTTTTGTATATTCCTGGTAAGACCGTTCCTGGAGAATGTGTTGACTGAGTCGCAGTCGGGCAGAGTCTCTGGTTGAATCTCTTGATGCCTCCCTCTCTTCCCGGTACCAACCATATTTATATGGTCGGTACTCCACTATGCAAATTAGGTGGATCCTACCACAACAATAAATAATCAGTTTATACACATCAGCCTAAATTTGAAATTTCTACGAGCCGCTTCTTTCACCATCGCCAGCTATCGACCAAGAATCAAAGTGAGCGGAATAATGTCTTCGGGATGTGTGTATATCACAGAATCCTTAGAGTGCTGTGGAGGGCGAGACGCGCTAATAAGTGGGGGTTGGATACCATCAGAACAAGGTACGTATTGAGAGAGCGCAGATGGCACTAAGGAAGATCCGTTACTTTGTGCATATTATGCGACGAGGCGGCTTCAATAAGGACATTCTACTGGGCCCATTGGAAGGAAAGCGACACCAGGGTCGACCACCCATATCTTCGTTTGATTATATTAAGAGATGGACTGGAATGACGGTGACTATGTTTGCGAGGGCGGCATCAGACAGAGAGAGAGAGAGAGATCTTTTTTTTTTATCGTTTCGCACCAAGCAAGTCGGTAATGCCACTAGTATGCAGAGGGTCACAGGGAGTGAAAGAGAGGACTCAGAATAGGGAGGGTTGAGAAAAGGACAAAAAAAAAATGAATAGGGTTCAAAAAGTCAGAAGATGGCAACTGGCGATGCATTTAAAATTTTGAAGCAAGGAAACGGAAGCACGTTCCACAGGTGGGAAGTGCGAGAAAAGAAACTGAGTAGAAGTGGCGGTTGCATTCAGTTATTTCAACAGTTAAAAAAAAAGGTGGGACATTCTAGTAGCACGTTTAAATTCATGTCGTCGAGACACCAGAGATAAAAGCTCGTCAGAGCAATTGCCAAGAAAATATTTGTAGATAGGACAGAGAGGAGCCACGTGACGTCAATGAGAATGTGACTGAAGCCGAGATGCCAGGTCAAGATCGATCATATTACAGATGGAAGGCAGTGGTGACAACAACGGCGCAAAATGCGCTAACTGAATAAATGATGATAAAAACAAATATTTAAATATATAGGAATAATAAAATATAAAAATAATAAAATATTTAAAATAATATTTAAAAAAAAAAGGGATAAATATTATTTCGTTGGTGACAGATATTGTTTTATCAGAGTAACACATCGATTAGACAACAATGCAATCACGACGCATTTCAGTGTTATTTACTTCAATTTATAAAATCTCTATACTATGGCGGTGTTTTTTTATTGTTATCATACTGCGTTGGAGGAAAACAATACCGAATATTATTTGCTCGTGTAGCAAAACCTTCATTACCATAATTTGATACAACAGACCGTTTTCAAATAAATAAAAACACAGCTCATATTACTTTTTCCAGTTCCTGTTCAGCCTCTGATATATGATATTGTTGGCGAGGTGTGAAACTGGCTAACTACACCTTACATTTCTCAAGGTATTGCGAATGACCTGATGACGTCTATCTCCTCTCAAGTTTATAAGAGTCAAATTTGACCTTCAATAACGAGTAATCCTTAACCTGACCGACTCAAATGCTTCGTAACCGCCGATCCAACGGTGTCAAATGTTGATCAATCAAGTCAACTTGAGATACGTATTTTTCTGGTCTGATAAGTGTCCCGCCAATCAGGTGTTTTCTTTGCAATTAGATCTCATCTTGCAAAGAAATTGAACTCCCTCCCAAAAGACCTATCTGACCATATCATGACGCTGACGCTTGATCTGAATATCAACATAAACGCCACGTTTATCAGTTCCGATAATGAACAGCTTCGTGCAAGAGAAAGACGACTTCTACAACAACCCCCATAATGTCATCTCTCACGTCCAGCACAGGTACGAAGTTATCCTAATGGGAGATTTTAATGCTTGGGTGGGTAACGACCACCAAGTCTTGGATGGTGTGCTGCGTCATCATGGTTTTTGATGCATAAATTCCAACGGCCTGTACATCCTTTCGATTTAATCACCAACACCTACTTTAAGGAACCGAACTGCCACAAGACATCGTGAATGCATCCTCGATCAAAAGACTGGCACCTTATTGAATATGTCATCAGCAAGATGAGAGACTTAAGTGACATCAATATCACAGATTCCTTTCATATCACCTGCTGCTTTTCAGACTATGCTGTCCTTGGTAGTAAAGCTTCCTTTGGTCGAAATACAATGCATAGATAGATAGATAGATAGATAGATTACGGAATGTGATTGATACGAAAGAGATTAACATAGATAGATAGATAGATAGATAGATAGATAGATAGATACTGAAAAGATTGTAACATATATATATATATATATATATATATATTGAGGGAGAGAGAGAAAGAGAGAGAAAGAGAGAAAGATAGTGACACCTTAATGACAATGTCATTAGCAAGAGAGACTAAAATGACATCAATATCACAGATTCGTTTCATATCACATGCTGCTTTTCTTACCATGTTCTCCTCGGCAGTAAGGATACTTTCGTCAAAATATAGTGCATAGATAGATAGATAGATAGATAGATAGATAGATAGGGAAAAGAATGTAATCGATATATAGAGAGAGAGGGAAAGAAGGAAGTTTTTAAAAAATATTTTGCGATTGCCGGACACTCACAGCATTACTTACATCAACTGCAATGTTTTTCCACAATTCCTCATCGATTGACGTCAAACATTCACATAGGTTCGCAAAGTTTTTTTTTTTCTCCGTTGTCAAGATCAATCATGGACAAACTGCAACCCACTTGGTTTTTCTGTATAACACGCTTAATTGTGAACAGACCTTTTTTAAATAAAAAAAAAAAAAATACACATCGTGATACTTTTTCCCAGTTCCTGTTCAGCCCGTGACATATGAGATTGTTGGCGAGGTACCAAAATGATTAACTACACTTTACATTTCTCAGGGTATTGCGAATGACCTAATGACGTCTATCTCCTCTCAACGGACAAGTTTATAAGAGTCAAATTTGACCTTCAGTAACGAGTAATCCGTAACCTGACCTGCTCAACTGTTACGTAACCGCCGATCCAACGGTATCAAATGTTGATCAGTCAAGTCATTTAGGCTTTCATGGAAACTATTTTGCGAACGACGAACACGACACACCATATTCTCCTCGGTAGTAAGGATCCTTTCGTCAATATAGTGCATAGATAGATAGAGAGATAGAAAAATAGATAGATAGTGCTCAGAATTAGATAGATAGATAGATAGATAGATAGATAGATAGATAGATAGATAGATAGTGCTCAGAATTAGATAGATAGATAGATAGATAGATAGATAGATAGATAGATAGTGCTCAGAATTAGATAGATAGATAGATAGATAGATAGATAGATAGATAGATAGATAGATAGTGAAAAGAATGTAATCGATAGATAGAGAGAGAGAGGGAAAGAAGGAAGTTTTTAAAAAACTATTTTGCGAGTGCCGGACACGATGCACTTGTTTTGCGGGTGGCATGTCCTGTGAGTTCAAATTGATTTTGTGACATTTCTATCTTAATCATACCCGTTTTAAAACTCACAGCATTACTTACATCAACTGCAATGTTTTCCCCAATTACTCATCGATTGATATTAAACATATACATAGGTTCGCAAAGTTTTTTAAGTTTTTTTTCTCAGTTATCAAGATCAATCATGGACAAACTACAACCTGTTTGGTTTTATTAATTTGTCCACATATAACACGCTTAATTTATGAAGGAAAATAACGTTTCTCAATTTTTATTTTATTTTATTTTTTTTTTTTTTTGTCTCATTATCATTTGTCCAATATTACCGCCGATCTCTCATAAAACACTGCCCAGGCCCGCTCCCTGGAGAGGACCCTCCAGCATCGACTCACCTTGAGGACAAAACACGGGTAGCAACGGCCTACTAAAGGGAAGAGTGATATTCCACTAAACGAAATCAACCAAGCTACCAACATGATATTTCATGACATTAATCCATATAATATCCTACAATTTCTTAAAGAAATTAAACTGTATTCCAAAATATAACTTTAAAAAAAAACGACAGGCAACAACCACCGCCTCTAGTAATTATGTCCCCACAAACATGTATATGCACAAAAGCTGAGTATCATCTACCATGTACTCAATTGTGAAAGTAGAATAACATATTTCTATTACTTCAAAGCTTCCAAGAAAATTAAATTTCGGCATTAAATGACCCATAAGGATTTGATGTGCTGTTAAATAAATCAACTAACAAACAAAAGAAGAACTCCTACAGAAAGTAGTGAAGGAAAGCGAGAAATAAACGACTAAACATCAATTGCAAGAAGATAGAATACATATATGCTAGGCTACAAAAATCTCCTGAGCCGACCAAGCATAGAAATGAATACAATATGAAAACCAGTTATAAGAAATGTTACAGAAAAGCAATGAAGAACAACAAAAAATTGCAATATAAACTCTGATAAAAAATATGCAATAATAATAACAGAAAAATTGCAATATGAGCAATGGTAAAAAATATGCAATAATAATAACAGAAAAATTGCAATATGAGCACTGGTAAAAAATATGCAATAATAATAACAACAGAAAAATTGCAATATGAGCACTGGTAAAAAATATGCAATAATAATAACAGAAAAATTGCAATATGAGCACTGGTAAAAAATAAATCGTTGCTGAGACATAAGGTTTATAAGTCCCAGAAATCCTCAAAGACACTGGATAAAGCCGTTAGTTAAATCCAGTGACTTGACCCAAAGAGTTGTGAGTTCAATACCAGGCTACAGCAGTGTTGAGCCAAAACTTGGAGAATTGAGTTGAGACATCTGGAAGAGTCATGACACGTGGAACTAGAACAATCTACCCCGGTGGACGAAATAAAAGGTTCGGTTCGAAATTCCAGTCACCTGAAGAAGGCCGGGGCGTACAACGGCCGAAACGTTGTGAATATAGCTATGAGGATAACAGTCAGAATAATGTAAATAATATAAGAATACATGGTTGTTGACAAAAGGGACCCCACCCATGCTCATTACAAATTCGAGATACCGAAATGAAACAGGTATAACGATTTAAATATCTGGAAACGGATGACGGAAACAAATAAAAAGACAGAAACATGACCTACCATACGAGCTTGAGTCAATGTATGGCAGAGAGATAGGAAACAGACTTAACTCCAAACGACAGGAAATCGTGGAGAGCCATGATCGCCAAAATCCTGAAAGGATAGAAGCAGCAGCAGCTTAGCATATTTTCTTTTCTTTTGTATAATACGACTTGAGCATAATGCGACCCGTGATTCTGAAGCTAAAAATAGGGAATAAATTACATTCTTGAGTTTAATACGACTCCGTAATACAGCCACCATTATACAATTTTTTTTAAGTTGCACTATGTGAGGGTCAGTTGAAAGATCCATAGGCTGGCCAAAATACTCTCATGTAATGTGAGCAGATGAGGTTTATTTTTAACATAACCCCCACCCCTTGTAAGTTCACACATTTCTTCCATCGATGTTGCAGTGCTTTGAACCCATTGGTGAAGAAGCTTTCATCTTGTCAGTCAAAAAAGTCAACAGCAGCAGATATGTCATAATTTCTGCTATACTGTTACCCAACCAAGTGTTTCATGCTCGGGAAAAGATGCTAGTCCAAATCAGGAGAATAGAGAGAGTGATCAACCAGTTCAAAGTCACGCACAGCATCCATTGAAACCCAGGACTTGTGGGCTGGAGCATTGTCCTGATGAAACACCATTCATCAGTTTTCCTAGCCGTTTGGTCTTAATAGCCTTTTCGTAACAGCCTCGGCACGTTGGCGTAGTACTCTCCATTGATGGTGTGGCCCTTTTGAAGATAGTACTTTCCATTGATGGTGTGGCCCTTTTGAAGATAGTACTCTCCATTGATGGTGTGACCCTTTTGAAGATAGTCAATAAACAATTCCTTTTGCATCCTAAAAAACTGGGAGTATCACCTCCCCGGCAGATGCAACGACATTGGTCTTCTTTAGAGAAGGTGAGTAGGGGTTTCCATTGCATAAATTGTCTCTTTGATCTTATAATTTGCTTATAGTTCTCATAAACGCAGAGCGAACTGAAAACTGGATTCTTGTATATAAATATTTAAAGAAAATATGCAAAAAACAATATTGTATTTTTATTAAATAAGTATTTGTTATTTTAATCATTAAGTTGTTTTTTTAAAATAGTTGGAGTATCTTATATGTTAAATAACAAAATTTTTAATTTTTCAAAAAAAAAAATTAATGAAAATTTATTTTACTAAGCTACGTCCCCTGATGTTATGAATAATCAAGAGTTGTTTCCCCTTGTTTTGTTACTCTCCTCTTTGAGAGAGCTGTTTCTATTTACTTGGACTATAAAAGGACACTATACGTGAACCTTGTATTCTCAGATAAATAAAGCTTTCTTAAAGCCTACACCTGTGTACTTTAGTCATTACACCTAATAAAACACTTCTCTCCAAAATTTGGTTTCGATTGGTCAATGTATGGCTACCTTAGAGAGTGTAATGGACGATTTCCTGTTCTTTCTCCATGATTTCCTGTCTTTTGTAGGTCTGAATAAATTAAGTCCGTTTTCTATCTCTCTGCCATAGAAGATTACAGGTAGTAAACAATTATGGTGAAGATGAGTTTTAACGAAAAGAATTGTAGAGGATTTGATCTTCAAAAGAAAATTAATAAACTGTTTTGTTTGTCTTTCTGTTGCCATGGTTGACAAAACGACACTTGCAATTTTCAAGGCACGGGGGCCACAATCAATCAAAGACTTCCTGATACTAAATCTTTAGAATTAATAAAGCCAATAGATGCTTAGAAATCAGTTAAGTAATCTAAGCCATCTGTAACACTGTTTTGTCTCTTAACCACAGAATAAAGTTTCAACATGAATTTGATTCTCTGAAATTTACAATGTATAATATTCTCTGTGATTGAGGAAGAAACGCTCTTTTCTTTTTCAGACTATGCATTTATTAATGACCCCCACGTGCACAGACACACAAATACACACATACATATATATATACATATAGTAATTAGTAGGAGGATTTGATAATTATATTTAATTAATTCATCGAGTCTGATAGAAACCTCAACAGGAATAGAGGAAGCACTGGACGGCCGTTTCGTCCTATAATTGGGACTCATCAGCAGTGCGCATCCACCACCGAGTATCGAAACCCTGACAGTTGGGTTGTCAAGCGAACAACATACCAACTGTACCAAATGGGCCTCGGTAACGAAGAGATTCCAAATCAGACGCAACTTAGCGCCGCTCGCTCACATATTCCGTGGCGGAACTCGACTGAGTTCTCTGTAACCATAGGACTGTGCCCCCGGGAGCCACGACTACTCTCACCAAGCCGCGCCAACTGGAGCATTAGAAGCCGGTTCAAGCGATGATAAACACAGATAGTAATTAGTAGGAGGATTTGATAATTATATTTAATTAATTCATTGAGTCAACAGGAATAGATATACATATATAGAAACCTCAACAGGAATAGATATACATATATATACACATACAAATACATATATATATATATATGATTTTATTTTTAATTTTAACTGAATATATGGATTATATTATGCATGTATGTAGAGTTATATGAATGTTTTCTTTCCATCGATGTAAGATGCGTGTGGACTACAAGGGGTGGGGGTATGTTGAAAATAAATGAGAGTATTTTGGCCAGCTTTGAATCTTTCAGCTGAACCTGGTGCAACTTAAAAAAAATTTGCTACCCAAATACTATATATATATATATATTATAAATTAATTGATTTAAAATATGGTTTTTATTTTAGCTGTGTCTTTAAAACCCGGTAATTTTTAAAAGTTACTCCAAAATTCGCTTGAAGATGAAATGGAACTAATGCTTTTAATTTAATTGCAAAATTAAATTCGGGGTTTTTAGCTTCTATTTTTGAAACATGGTTGGAACTGTGTAGCAAAAAAAAAAAACATATTTTAAATCAATTAAATCAATTAATTTATAATATTAATGCTCTGTAAATTTACATTGAGCACTATTTTGTAAAAATAAAAATATCTATAAGAACACCGGATTTTATATCTTACTGTCCTTTCTTTATATATATATATATATATATATATATATATATATATATATAACTACTAAATAAACGATCAGAACTCATCTCAAAATGCAAACATAAAAAGAATATATATGAATTCAGATGTCACTGTGTTCCTGTCAGTCAGTTATGTGCCATGCGCGACAAACGCTTGGGCGATCATGTATCTTTCGATACATGACTGATGTATGCTTATGGTTTGTTTCCTAAAATTACAATGTATCAATTCGTATCTGTCTATATTTCTCAGATGAGGTATCATGTACACTATTTACATTATTCGGACTACTGTTCTCATCTTTGTCGCCATGTTTATCACAACGTTTCGGCCGCTGTACGCTCCGGCCTTCTTCAGGTGGTTG